TCCGAAGAAGCTGACCATGATCTGCCTCGTGCTCTAACAGAATCATGGTTTTGCCAGCTGCAGATAACTTCTGTGATTGTAAATCATTTGGAATTCTGGGGACTTTTCAGAGGGTCTAGGACCCTGAGAGGCAGGGTCGGTAGTTGTTGGTCATTTAGGGAGTTGTTTGTGGTTTGTTAATAGCCATGGTCAAAGAAGAAACCAAAGGAAAGAAATTAGATTCAGGAATCTCTCTCCCCCACCCTTGTTTCTTTCCTAGCTAGCGATAGAGGTATAGAGGTATGAGGGGTGGAGGGTGGAGGAGGATAAAGGGTGGAAAAAAGAAGAGCCTACAAAGTAGCAAAGACCAGCTACAGAAACTACCTACATAAAATGAAAATAAATTAATTATTAAGAGAGAGACAGAGAAAGAGAAGAGGGAGGGAGAGAGATGGAGGGAGAGGAAGGGAAAAGGGAAGAGAGCAAGAGAGAGATGAGACTGATATGATTGGTTCCTGTTCTCAGTCTTCATGCCTCACCTGTGAAGGTCCAGAGACGTCCAGCAAGCGGCCCAGCTGTGCAGGGCATGGATCTTAGAAAGGCTTGTGGGAAAGCCCAGGTCTGGGTAAGCTTCAACTGAACATCCACGCTTACAGTCCGGGATCATGTTTCCTCACAGACAGAGCAAGAGTGAGCTAGAAGTGACATAATCCCAACTCCTCCATCTGTTCACTTGTGGCAGCCAGGTGATCCCCTTAGGTGCAGGCAGTAAAATCTAGACAGCATGGCTACCTGAGGCTCATCGAGGACCGCCCTGCGGCTACAACCAGCTGCTACGGAAAGACTAGTGGGACAACACGGAGAAATGCCAGCCAGTGCGAAGGCCCTGGGGCATGAGAAGAGTTGCTGAGCCACTGGAGAGGCCTCCCGGGCAGGGCTTAGGGGACTTCCTCTGCTGAAGCTCAAGCTGCCACTTGCTACCTGCCACCTGGTTGAGGACCAGACCTGTGCCCCACCCCCACACACATTCCAAGCTGCCCAATCAGGCCTGGCCTTGCTCATGCCACTGGGTAAGAATGATTTCAACACTGAGCACTGCCCTCCACAACTGGCTCAGCTCATTCCCCAGGGTACCCAGGGCAGGGTGACCTCAAACCTGCCTTTCTCTTGGGGTCACCTTCCTGGTCCCCAGGGATGAAGCAGCAGGACCTGCAACCCTAAGACATAGACAGCTCACATCTCTGTGGGTGAGAAGAATCACGGACTCAAATTCTTCCCCTGTCCCTTACTATTCAAGTTCCTCTACTGTGATGTATGGCCAGTGATAGGTTGTCCCAGTCTCTTTCCACTATATGGTCAACGATAGTCAACAAGTCTGTGGAGAGAGGAGTTCCTGTTCTAAAGGTGAGGTCAGGTTTCCTTATGAAACCTAAGAGTTTTTTTTTTTTTTTTTGTTTTTTGTTTTTTTTTTTTTTTTTTAGTTTTTATATTCTTTTTTATTAACCTAAGAGTTTTGAAGTCTGGCCTGGTACACACTTGTGGTCTCAGACATTCAGGAGGATGGAGGGAATGAGGACGCTCTGTGTCAATACAAAAACTTAGAAGAAGTCTTGGGGCATAGCTCATAGGTGCCTAGAATTCCCCAGTGAGGGGCTGGGTCGTGGTCAGGGGTAGAGCCTAACATGTGGAAAAAACCTGGGTCCGGTCCTTAGCACCTTTCAAGAAAAGATTCCTACTGGTTTCTTGCCAAGAGTAGTGGCTCATGCTTGTCATCCAGTATTCAGGATGCTGAGTACAAGGCCGGCCTGAACTACCCTATAGAGTAAGACCTGACCCTGTCTCAAAAGAAAAAAAAAAAGTCTGAAAAGTGTGGAGTCAGCAAGAAAAGTGTGCTCCTCACCAAGGCTGATGACCTGCATACCAGCCTCATCCCCATAGGGTGGCAGAGAAGCGAGGCAGCAGATGATCTTCTGACTTTCACGTGTGAGCCGTGCCGCATACACCATCCTTTCTTAGACAATTGTAAAAATAAGTGCAAAAATCAATAAATAAGAAAAAGCCAGTGTTGCAGTATACTCGATCCCATTGTGAACCCCCGAATTGTAAACTGTAAAACCCTGTGTTTTTGGTGTGGTTGAGCCCTCGCACACACCTTTAATCCAAGAGCTTTCTATACACAGGATTTAATAAAGTTAACCCTAGGTCAAGAGGTGGAGCAAGAAACCAGGTGACAGGGATTAAAGAGTGGGAGGGACTTGGAGTCGAGAGGTATTTAAGACAGGATGGAGAAGAAGCTTTTAGCTCAAGCTCTGGCTTTAGCTCTGGCTTCAGCTCCCTGGCTTTTTGGGCTTTGAGCTAGCAAGGCTTTTGCTCTGGGTTTTGTTTTGTTTTTGGCCTTTTCCTCCTGGGCTGGCAGCTGAGCTACTGAGCCTTTTGGGTGTTTTCTATCCAGACCTGAGCTGAGAAGGCAGGTCAGCTGGGTGCTTTCTCTGCCTCTCTGAGCTAGCAGGTTTTCACTGGCTCCTGAATCTTCATTGGTAAAATAAAATGGTTGGGGTTTTCTTTCTTTCTTTCTTTCTTTCTTTCTTTCTTTCTTTCTTTCTTTTTAACAACAAGCCGGGCCTGGTGGCACACACCTTTAATCCTAATGCCCTAGAGGCAGAGGCGGGCAGGTCTCTGAGTATGAGGCCAGCCTGGTCTACAGAGAGAGCTCCAGGACAGCCAGGGCTGCACAGAGAGACCCCGTCTTGGAAAAAAATAGTAAGAAAAAAAAAAAAGAAAAGCCAGAAAAGAAGCTTAGAACGCTGTGGTGCCGTGCACACCCATGATCCCACGCCCAGGAGGCTGAAGCAGAAGCATTTTCAGTCATAAGCCAGCCCGAGACAACACAAGAAATTAATTAAACACACTTACCACATGACCCAGCAATTTCTCCTCCTAGGCATATTCCCAGAAGAAATGGAAAACCATAGCCACACCACAACTTAACATATTCACAGTACCCAGAAGGTGGCGCTAGTCCAGTTTCCACAGGTGGATGGCAGTCACACCCCATGGGCTATTCCTATCTTGGAATATTACTCAGCCATGAAGAGGAGTGAGGCTCCCACACATGCCACAGCCTGGCCCATAAGGACATGGTGTTCAGTGAGAGTCAGACTCTTAAGGACTTTCAGAGGGGGTCTCCATGGCAGCAAATGCCCAGAACAGGAGACAGGAAGTAGGCTTGAGAGTGCTGGGAGCTGGAAAGATCATGAGATGAATGCAGCTGGAGAGATGGCTTGGTGGTTAACAGCCCTGGCTGCTCTTCCAGAGGACCTGAGTTCAAGTCCCAGCAACCACATGGTAGCTCACAACCCTCTGGTGTGCATGAAAACAGAGCTTCAGCTGGCTGAGGTAGCACACGCCTTTGATCCCAGCACTCTGGGAGGCAAAGGCAGGTGGATCTACAAAGTGCGTCCAGGACAGCCAAGGCTACACAGAGAAACTCTGTCTCAAAAGAAAGAAAGCAGAATACTCATATATATAAAATAATCAGTTTTTTAAAAAAAGAAAAGAAGATATGATGACTGCTCATGAGGACAGGGCTTCCTTTGGAGTTTGACAGATGAGGCTTGCCCAATGTTTTTGCACTAATAACTGAGTTTATGCTTTAAGTGAGTGATTTATGTGGTATGCAAATTATATTTTAATGAGCGGTTATTAAATTAAACCAAGTTGAGCACCTCCCGGCTGTGCGTCCTGGCCTCTCATATAGGAAATGCAAAACATCCAGAGGCACATCCAGGCGTGCAAGGCACTCAATCCAGAAGGGCTTTGAATTCCAGCCATGGAACAAAAGTGGCAGGGTGGCATTTGGCGCCAGGCCAGGGCTACACTGATTTCCAGCAATATGCCTAGGCTTTCTCCGGGTACCCTTCCAGACAGACACCCCTTGCCAGCCTTCCTAACAGAGGAAGGTGCAGGTGTGGGCGGTCAGGAAGAGTCACAGGGTCTTGGACTACCCCGAGGTGGATCCAGGCCTACCCGGGCTCCACCCTCTGATGTGACCTGCCCAGGCTCAGGGAGACGGGATCTGCTGAGCCACCGGGAAGGAATCCTGGCATCCTGAAGGACTGGTTGTCTTTCCAGAGGGCTCCCCAAAAGGTAGGCTTGTCAGCAAACCTCACCCCAGTGCTATTTAATGGTGCCACCTGGGGCCGGGGGAGGAGACTGGCACTGGGGCTCCAGACTGCACCAGGAGGTCACCGCGCCTCTCAGAGCCACTGGCTGCTGGGCAGGTGCGGGTGACCATGGTGTTTCCTGGGGATGGGTGTGGCTGCGGTGAGGTGCGGGGGCGGACACAGCCCAGTTCTGCTGCCCAGACGCTGTCCTCAGTGCCCTAAGATGAAGCGATACACAGTTTCCCGCATCTGTCACTCTGCCCACCGTCCACCCCACCCCTTCCCTGGCCACTCTTCCACGGCAGAGCCCCGCCCCAAGGGTAGCCTCAGACTCTCCTGGATAAAAGAGGCCGCACTGTCCTGTGCATGCTGGCCAGACTGACACCTGAAATCCGGTTTACCTCATTGCCTCTGTCCATCTCTTACACAGTGTCTGTCTCACCGTCTGTCTCACCTCTGTCTCCTTATCAGTGTCTTTTCGTCTCTCTGTCTACGCGATCTTTCTCTTCAGTCTCTCCGGTTTCACTCTTTCACTTCTGTTCCTTCTCTGTTTATTCAGTGACCTGGTTCTGCTGGCTCTGCTCTCTAGCTCTTGGCATCTCTCCATCTCTGGTCCCTCTGTCTTCAGTCTCTGCCCCTCTGCGATCTCGTTCTTGTGCTTCTATTCTGTGTCTCCCTCTCCACCCCCGCATTCGCACCCGCACCTCAGGGTGACCAACACCGGTGGGATAAACAGGAGCGCGCCCTCCGCGCCTGGAGCTGGCGGCCCAGCCCCTCACGCCCATTGGACGGCAGCGGCCCTAGCCCCGCCCCCGACCGTGCAGCTGGGCCACCGCGCGCCGGCGGGCACAGGTCGGGATGCGCCGCCGCCTCTGGCTGGGCCTGGCCTGGCTGCTGCTGGCGCGGGCACCGGGCGCCCCGGGCGGGTACCCGCATCTGGAGGGCGACGTACGTTGGCGCCGCCTCTTTTCCTCCACCCACTTCTTCCTGCGTGTGGACCCTGGTGGTCGGGTGCAGGGGACGCGTTGGCGGCACGGCCAGGACAGTAAGTGCTGGGGCAGCAGCGAGAGATGGGCACACCTCCTATGGGCTCCTTGGCAAAGCAAGACCCGCAGAGTGGGGTCACTGGCCTACGTACAGGGGCGAAGTGATGAGGTGGGATTCCCGCTCCTTGGGTGGTGACCTGCCTGAATTGGGATTCCCTCTGTTCCCAGACACCCCTGTTTGGCAAATGAGGTAAGAGGGATGCCTGATCTCAAAGTCCTGCTAAGAGATCAGGAATGGAGCTGGGTCTGGACAGAGCCCTGCCTTGCATACAGAAGGCCTTCCGTAAGTGCTTGTGGCACGAATGTGGCGAGAGCAGAGGCCACGGTGAGGAGGAGCTGGGGTGATGAAGAGGCCAACTTCCTTGGTGCTGAAGTCTGACAGGAGTTCCTGGGAGGGTCTGAGCTCAGCCCTGGACAGGCGACAGAGCACTGCCCATCCCAGTGGCTTTTATCTGGGTTCCAAGGCCCTCATTAGGCCACACAGGACAGGGGACTGGCTGGGCAGGTCCATCCGTGGCAGCACAGCCAGGCGGGGTGGCCCCGGGCTGAAGAAGAGGCCCAGCTGAATGGCCTGGCCCTTCAGTACTTCTGAGATTTAGATCCCACCGATAGGGACGGGGTGACAGGTGTGGATGGGGCTCTTCCCTCCTCGGCAGTCACCCTGTGGGGCAGTTCTAACCGAGATGGTCCACAGTCGTGGGCCTCCCCGAGCAAATGCACTCACCTCAGCGGAGGTGACTGGCCACCCCAGCGTGGAGCCTCAAGCTTCCACAGAGGGTCTGGGCATAGACGCCTGCAGTGGGATTCAGCCATTCCTTGAACCAGTTCCTGGAGGAAAGCCAGGTAGAGCCTGTAGAGATGCGCACAGAGGGTTGACAGACAGATGAGGTCCAATGCCGGCTCTTCCAATCCCGGCCTTCAGTTTTCCACCTGGTAGTGGGTACAACTGGCACCCTCACCCACCCACCCAGGGTTGTGTAGGCTCCATGCAGCTGAGGGCATACAGTCGGTGCCCAAGCATTGTTCATGATGGCCTGGCTCCCCGGGTCTTTTCTGGCCAGCCTGTGTTCCTTAGCTCCTGGAGGTTGTGAATAGACTCCTCTTCATCCAGGGAAGCGCCATGTTTGTTAGAGCCCTGGTCTCCAGCGTCCATGCCAGCTGGGGTTGGAGAGTGGAGGTGGGGCCCGGGGAGCCCTGTGTGCTTGCTGCCTGACTATGCTCTCCTGCCCCCACTCAGGTATTGTTGAGATCCGTTCTGTCCGGGTGGGCACTGTGGTGATCAAGGCTGTGTACTCAGGCTTCTATGTGGCCATGAATCGCAGGGGCCGCCTCTACGGGTCGGTGAGTGACGGGCAGTGGGCAGCTACAGGGTGGCAGTGGCTGGTGGGGCCACCAGCCAGCCTCACGCACCCGCGCTGCAGCGGGTCTACTCTGTGGACTGTAGGTTCCGGGAGCGCATTGAGGAGAACGGCTACAACACATACGCCTCGAGACGCTGGAGGCACCACGGCCGACCCATGTTCTTGGCGCTGGATGGCCAGGGCCTTCCCCGGCAGGGCAGGCGCACGCGGCGGCACCAACTGTCCACACACTTCCTGCCAGTGCTGGTCTCGTCTTGAAGGGCCTGCTGATGGTTCAGGAGGCATGGGCGGCGCAGAGGGCCTGCAGGATCTGGAGCTGGGAGTAAGGGGCCCAGGCCAGGGAGGGACCCTGCTGGCTGCCAGGCATGGGGACAGGGCAGGGTCCCTGCAGGCGAGGCCAACTCTCTGGATACACAACCTGGCAGTTTCCACCCCACCTAGTTTGGAGGTCGAGAACACTCCGGGGCTCAACCTGACTTGTGCTCTGGGCACAGCACGGAGGGGCTTGGAGATGGGGACACACTGGGTGGATGAGGATAGTAAGGACAGGGAGGATAGGGCCCAGGTCAGCAGGGCAGTGACACAGACATAGGAGCCCATGTGGTCAGAGTAGGGGCTGGAGCTAAGGGCACTTCTTGCCGATTCTCCCTCATCAGGTTGCTCACAGTCCCTGTATCTCCCACCCCAGAGGCTCTGACTCCCTCTTCTGGCCTTTGCAGGTACCTGCACTCATGTGCACAAACCCTACTGTCCATACACATAAAACATACTTTATTACTACTACTTCTCCCCCCCAACCCAGACATGGTTTCTCTGTGTAACAGCTGTAGCTGTCCTGGACTTGCTTTGTAGACCAGGCTGACCTCTGACACAGAGATCCGCCTGTTTCTGCCTCCCGTGAGCTGGGATAAAAGGCGTGTCACCATGCCCAATGTGGCACCTCTGGACACTGGGATGTGTTCGATGCCTGAGTTTCCTGGAGTCGCTGGTAGGGACCAGCCTGATCTCACCTAGATTACGGCCTGGGGGAGGCCGGTATCAGACTCTGACCTGGACCCAGCAATAAACGTTTTTGACCTTGATGTGCGTGGTTGCTACCAAAGCGGCAGGACACAAGCACTGTAGCTGGCGCTTTCAGAACGGACGCCCAGGTCCTCAGCATCTCCAGGGAGTGGTGCTCTGCGGGGTTACCTGTGGGGCAACCTTTTCTGCTCTCAGGCTCTTGGGGTGGGATGTGGCTGGCAGCTTTTGTCATTTAAGCACCACTGACCTGAGGCCAAGACTTAGGCCCAGACCATGGCAGAGGGCACCACCACCAGTGGGGGAGCCGAAGTAACACGTGGTCCTCTGGGCTCTTCAACTTGAGGACAGGATTGGGCAGTGCCTGCTCTGGGCTGCGGGGATGCTCTGGGCGTCCTCCACGGAAGCTCACCACGGCAATGTTGGCTTGGGGTAGGCGGGCCCTCATAGAGGTTACAAAGCAGACAAATGGTGTGTGGAATGAGGCTGCAGGCCTGGTCACAGGCCACCAAGTGGCCACCCACCAGCAGGACTTGCACCAGGTAGCTCCCCACCCACGCAGCTCCAAGAGCAGTAGTTCAAATCTCGCCTCCTAGCAAACAGTGCTGAGGGCTGCGTCCCATCAGGCCTTTGCCAGAACAAGCCCGCCCTGTGAGCTGCCCCACCAGGCAGTCGTAGCCACCCTGGCTGAAGGAAGACGCCAAGCCATGGGCTCTGCTTTTTGAGTAGGTGTATTTTAAATAGCTTTCCAGATAACACACATTTCCTTTAAAAAAAAAAAAAAAAAAAAAAAAGTCTGCTGGAGCAGTTTGTTCCTGGGTCTGCTGGTCACCCTCGTGGTCCCGAGGCGGATGCTGGCTGGGTGCTGGGCCCGGCCTCCCAGGGCATGTGGCAGGCAGGGCCTGGCGACAGTTCTGCTGACTCCACAGATCATGCATGGTCTCGCGTGGCTCAAACGTCCATTTATTTCAAAGCAGTAATAATTTAAAATCATAAAAACCCTTCTGCCGTTGAACATTTGGAGGGTGAGGTTAAAGACGGACTGAAGGCGCCTGCTGGGGACATGGGGCCCACGTGCGCACCTCCAAACAGGAGCGACCATGGCCAAGTCCGAGCCTACCGCAGCCTGGGGCCTGCCAGGTGCTGCCGGCCGCCATGGGGCAGCACCTCTAGTCCACGGCCATGGTGGTGCTGGGGCACCGAGGGTGTGTGGGATGACCGAGCCCCGGGGGGATGGCCAGGTGGGACTCAGGAGTTGCTTGTGGCATTCTCGTTGCTGGGCGAGCTGGACGAGGAGGACGAGGAGGATGAGGAGAAACCCACCCCAGTCAGGCCTGGGGGATTAGTGGCCGTGTTCTGTCCAGTGAGGCTCTTGCGGCAGACTGGGCAGCTGTCATGCTTGAGAGGAGAAAGGAGGAGTTAGACTGGGGTCAGGATTAGGGCCAAGCTCACAATTAGATTCTTAGTCAGAGCATCTCAAGCAAGGGTCAGGACCTAGGTTAAAATCACGGTCATGACTGGCCTGGCTTAGGGTCAGAGCTTAAAGTCAGTCATGATGACAGTGAAAATCAGTCTGAGCAAGTCAGAGTTCGGGTGAGGTGGCTGTATGGCAGCCGCTCAGGGCAGCGGGCAGGCGCACCAGCAAGCAGGACCCGCGCTTACACCAACACTAACACACACTGACCCAGATCAGGAGCGGAGGAAAGCCACTAGAATGAGGGCCAACCTTAGGGTCCCGATCGGAGTCGCCATAGCTGGAGACAGGCATCGTAAAGGTAAGAGTTAAGAGGAAGAATGGTATGATCAAATCAGTTATGGCTACTGTCAGAACTGGCTCTGTAGACCAGGCTGGCCTCGAACTCACAGAGCCCCTCCTGCCTCTGCCCCCCAAGTGCTGGGAGTCAAGGTGTGCGCCACCACCGCCTGTGTGAGCACAGGGTTTCTGACTGGCAGGCAAGCAGGTCAGGGGTAAGGTCGGCGTCGTGTCTGGGTCTAACTAAGCGTGTGTCAGCCAGGCGGAGGGTGGCAGGAGCGCAGAATGCAAGCAGGAGGTCTGGGCTGGGCAGGGCCACCTCGGAGTGTAGGGCAGTCACCTGCTCTAGCCAGGGCACAATGCAGCTGTCGTGGAACAGGTGGTTGCAGGGCAACTGCCGCACACTCTCACCCAGCGCGTAGTCGTCTTTGCACACTGGGCACTCCAGCCCCGAGCCTGCAGAGGAGGCGGGTCAGTGAGAGGCATGCCACAGCAGGGGAGACCCCAGGCTCTGCCCACCGACCCCAGCCAAGCATACCCACGTGCTCCTCTGTGACGGGGACCGTGGGAAGGGCCTGGATCTTCTCCTTGTCCGCAGGTGGGGGGCCCGTGTTCTCAAACTGATTGAGGAGCTGGAAGACAAGAAGCAGCAGTGGCCTGAGAGGGGCGTCGTTCCCAATGGGGTGGTGGGGTTGGGTAGCTCCACCTGCCCAGCTCCGCATGGGTGCAAACCAACAAGACACCAGGCCCATTAACTCTCAGGGCCACCTGAGGCGGACAGTGCTGGCAGGGGCTACTGGGCACCCTAGGGCAGCAGTAAGGGATGAGGGGAAGAGGAGACCAACCAGCCACTGAGCTGCCTGACAGCAGAGAGCAGGATGCAGGGGTCTTGGTTGCTGCAGAGCCCGCACCCCATCTGCCTCACTAGGCTGGCCTCTTGGGCCCCCAACAACACTGAGTGGCCAGATGTACCTGTGTGATGATGGCGTCCAGGCCGTTGGCCCCCCAGGCGTAGTCCATTGGGTTCGAGTGCAGGACGCCCCTGGGGGGAGAGGCCGGGTCAGGGGACGCAGGGTGGGAGGGGCCGGGCACCCGTCCCCTACTCACCAGGGACCAAGGCCCAGGCTAGGTACAGCGGCGGGGGAGATGATGCCATTCACGAGCTGCTGGATGATCCTGTGGGAGAGGTGGTGTCACAGGGGCCTGAAGTGGCCAGCACTTCCCAAGACAGAGGCTGGCTCTGCAGTCCGGGCTAGCCTCCAGTTCACTAACCAGATCAAGCTAGCCTTGAACTGGCAGTGGTCTGTCTCCAGCACCCATGCACCCTCCTACCCAATGGGAGGAAGTCACTGGTGCAAACTATTTCACAGGGCCTCCCGGAAGCCAGAGGCCACAGGGCATGGCCCCAAGGGTGTGGACCTCATCCTATTTCACTTCCACAGGGGGTTGGCGTGTAGCACTCAGCTCCTGTGGGTGACCCAGGTTCTTCGAGTTTTGTTTAAAGAGAGAGGTGGCCAGTGGCTCCCATGGGCAGACAGGTCTAGTCTCGTAAGGAAGCGTGGAGACTCGGTCAGCAGAGTCTGTGTGTCCCCACTGTGGTAGTGAGGCCTTCAGCAGCTACCCCAGCCCACTCACCCTTCCAGCGTGGGGACGCCTTCATGCCGGCCAGTGGTCCGCCGGGCCGTGAGGCGGGCCCGGGGCTGCCGGGCCCCATACCGATGCCGAGACTGGTGTTCTCTCTCTCGTCGGCTCTCAGGGTCCCTGCCATCATCGGCCTGCGCCCCAGGAGGGAAAGTGGGAATCTCAAAGCTATCGTCGAAGATGCCAAATGCAAACTGGCTGTATCCCTGCGGCAGCGTGAAGAGGTGCTGGTCCACACTCTGTGGAGAAGACGCAGTGAGCCATGTCACAGACAGCGAAGGCAGGGTCCTTTAACAATCCCACAGACGGGAGACAACCGTCAGGGTGAGGAAGAGCACCAAGTGTGGGACAGGGATGTGCCAACCTGAAGGACAGGGAAGGCCTGGGACCAGGTACCGTGACTCACCTCAAATGGCTGCCGGTTCTGGTCGGTGGGGGCTGTGGAGGGGGCAGAGCCATTTTCCGTGTTCCTGGGGGGAGAGAGAGAGAGCCTGTCAGCTGCAGCTGCAGCCCTTCCCAGGTCCTCAGGACAGGGAACACCAAGGTCACAGCAGCCCCCAGCCCTGATGACTACCTGGCCTCTTCTGGAAGCTCCTCAATGAAGCCAGACTCACACCTCGGGCAGATGTAATCCTGCGGGAGAGGCAGGGGTCAGAATGACTATCCACCCAAGCCCAGAGGCACACAGGGCAGTGGGGACAGTAAGGGCCCCCTCCCACAGCCGTAGCAACTCCAGCACCTGCTGGGTCTCCCCCAGCCTGGCTTCCTCCTGTGCCCTCCCTCCCGGCGAAGACGAGACCTACTGTGCACCCACAATGACAGGACCTGCGGTCCCTTCTTCAGACACACATCGGTGGGACACAGACAGCTGGTGACCCATGTAGGAACAGCAGGAAAAAGTCTGAAAACCTGGCAACACCTTCCTGAGACCAACTGGAAGCCACATTTGTACATCTGGGGCCAGAGCCCATGGCCTCAGAGATGAGTCACCTCTGAGGACACTACTACACACAGGAAGCCCCAACAAGTGCACAGCATGCTTCCCATGAGGCCACAGCTGTCGGGAGTCAGGCAGTGGGGCAGGCGGGCAGCAAAGGCCACAGACCTCTCACTGACAGAGCAGACCCTAAAGCGAGAGTGGCACAGGCCCTGATCTGCCCCGCTCTAGGGAGGGTGGCCCACTTGGCAATCTGACATGTGAGGCCTGCTCGCCACCCCTGCAGACACACCCCCACAGCTGAACGCACTACCATGAACATGTGAAGGGGCACGCCATTAGTCACCAGGGCAACGCCAGCGTGACTCAGTTGGCCTGAGACAGCCAGAAGGCCCAGAGCAGGCCTCACCAGAGCTGGGGTCTACTACGGGGGGGGCCAAAGCCAGACCAGTCTCACGCTGGCATAGTACAACAGCAGCACACACATGGCCTGGCGCACTCTCTGCCTCAACCTCTACATCCAGCCATCCCTCACCGGCTGCAGCCAGGGCATGACTAGGGGCAGCTCATATCTACTGCCAAATGCCTCTCTGTCAGGTAGGTTCCTGCTCACCCCTCGCAGCAGCTGGTGCCAAGGGTCACCAAGCAGAGGCCATTCTACCTTGCCTGGTCCTGGTTACTCTGCTCCTGGTGGCAGCCGTCTTGATGGTTCCAATGACATCTGGCCCTTAAAAGACCCCAACCCCCACACCACCATAGAGACCTGAAAATATAGGACTGCAACAGAACACTGTATGCCCAAAACTCAGGTGACCCTTGTAACACATACCGAATGACCATTCTGAGTGCTTATTCAGCCAGAGAGGACTGAATCCCAAGGACCTTTGTCAGTGTCACTGGCCTTCCCCTGGCCTGCAGCAGCCTCTGGAGGGGACCCACAGACCCAGCTCCTTGCCCATGGCT